GAAAAACATTTAGGGTTGCAGCATGCACTAATGTTAAGCCATCTTACACCCGGTGAACCCACGCTGTATTCATCACATTTGCTTAGCACCTACGTTATCTTTCATTTCATTTAGTTTTTGATCAAGAGAAAAAGTTGGAACAAATCCACATTTTTTTTTTAATCCACTGCTAGATAACGAGCCTAGTATGGGGCTAGCATTAATACAGTGAAATCCCGATTTTCGAACCTCTAAGGAAACCGACAATTGGTTCGGTTTTACAGTGAAACAAACCCAACAGAGGGAAACAGGTTTTCAGACGTTTTTATTAATCGAAGGGTTCAAAAAACGCGGCATTCCACAAAACAAGTCGCCGTTTTTCTCAGTTAATTGGCTACTATTGGTATTACTCAGCTACTTGTTGAAGAAATATACTCTGGAAATTCAAAAACGGACACGCTCAAATTTATTTAACCTTCTGATCTGATCTCAATCTGTTGTTGTTATTACAGAAAATTGAAGAAAGAAGTTTCTTGATTCTTTTAAAATGATAAAAATTGCAGAGTATTACAATTGCCAGCTTTTCCGTGTTTTATCATTTAACTATTGCCTACAGGCAATAGATAAATGGTAATTGTATAGCGGAACCCAGTTCCCTCTCAAATCTTCCACTGTAATAAGTCCTCCATTGTTATTATCTTTTTACGGCATTTAGCTTAACTCTTCTACATTCCTTTTTTTGTGTCGCTGTTTTGGGGTGTCCAGCTACTAACAGCCTTTGCAGGAAAACAAAGAAAGGGAAGTACGGAACATTAGATATGGTTTTTAACAAGATAAAATTTTCTTTTCGCCAATGACGTTTTTTTTTTCATTGAACAGTGACTCCCCATGGATTTTTGGCATCATATATGTAGAAATTTTCGCAGTGTTTAACAAAGGGAAATCGTCTTATGTTTATTACGCTACAGTCAAGAAGACTCAGGCTGCGGGCTTTTTAAGATAAAAGTAATTACAATAAAAGTAATTACAACTTAGAACAACCCGGTTGCGGAATGTGTGTTTTAAAAATAAGTTATTTTGATTTAGGTGGGTTACTTTCAAATTTTTAGCTTTCATAACCTTAATTATCCATATTCACTAACACTAAAACGACTAAGTTAACTGAAAAGTAACACGCTCAATTTAAATGGTATCTAACACTGAAATTTTTGCTCTTTTGAATGAACAATGAAGGGTAATGAAGGATACTTGATCAACTTGAAAAGGTGGCGCTGTTGTAATGAAAAGAAACGCATGAAAATTAATCATTCAACAGCAGCAATTAATAAAGGACATAAAGCCTCAATGATTAAACTACGTTTATCATAGATTTAAATTAATGATAATTAAAAAATTATAATAAAACAATAGAAATAAATATACAATACTTAATAGCGGAAGCCACATCAGCCTTGGCCAGTTTTCATGCAGGTCCTCTGTTGTGATCGAATTAGCATTTGGAGATGTTGGTTTTTGTGGAGGGAGGAAAACCGGAGAACACGGAGAAAAACCCTCAGGGCAAGCTGAGAACTGACAACAAACTCAACCCACATATTTGAACAAAGAGTTGGAATGTAAAGCCATCTAAATCATCAACCATGTGCTTGTTGCACCCCGCACGATGAAAAATTTAATCAAAGAAAAAAAGTAGAATTAAAAACAGATACCTGGCGATTCCGTATGTTTTGCTTTCTTTTCTCCTCTCAACTTTCTTTCTTTCACTTTCAAGTGGAAGGGACTTCCCTTGATCGCTTCGCCTGCCACTGTTATGACAACATTGAACTCTCCTGCAGCTTCAGGTCTGTATGATACTTTATAGCAGCCATCTTTTGAGTCTGTTATGGTGGCCTCCAAGGTTTTTCTCGTCTGGAGAGACTGGATGCAAACTTCAACCATGTCAATTTCACTGTAGGTTTTAATTCCCTGTGAATCCTTTGTAATCACTGTAAAAGTGCAATCTTCGCCTTGTACGGCACCCTCTGTCAGGGCCATGCTATCCACCATGGTTGACGAAGGTTCAGTGTTTGTCGTGAGTAACTTCCCCGGTGAATCTTTCAGGGACGACAAGTCATTTGAAACGTATTTGACGGCGGAATAATTTGCCTTCAAGTTAAATGCACAAGGCTCCATAAGTTCCTGAAACCTTTGTTCAAGCACTTCTTCCACGTTTAGAATCTCTGGTAAATTATTTCGTTGAAGTATTTCGTTGCCAAAGTCCAAGCTGCTCTCTATTTCAACCAGTTTTTCGTCCAGGCTGGTCATTGTGTTTGAAAATGCAGCATCGAAAGTTTCTTTCTGCTTCATTAGTCGATCGGTCATGCTTGCTTCATGCTGGCGAATCAATTCTATGTTCCTTTCCACCGTTCTGTGTATTTCTTGTGTCGCTTGTTCGACGCTTTTGTTCATTCTTATTCTTTGCTTTTCGAGGAATTCTTTTTCGCTCTTCAAACGAGGAACATTTGCCTGGACTTCTTGCATCTTATTCTCAATTTCTGATTTCTTCTTTTGTAATCCGTTGTCAAGCGAAACGATGTTGTGGTCTCGATGATCCAATATGGCGCAGTCACGGCAAATACATATCACGCATTGTTCACAATAAAATCGCACTTCATCGTTGTGTTTCTTGCAAACATTTGCTCTCCTGGCGTAATCTCGGGCATCGCTAGGCTTGAATTTCCCAATTTCTTTAACCTGATGACCACTAAGAGCTTTCATTTTTCTGTGAGCCCTAGCGCAGTCTTCACACAGGAAGTGATTGCAATCAGCACAATAGTACTTCAACGACTTTCTTACGTCGCAGTTTCCACAGTGTGGTGAATCTTCCTGGCCTAGTCCGCTGTAAGCCTTAACAATGTCCACCATCTGCTTGTAAAACAGGTTGGATGGAAGGCTGCTGATGTTGTTGCTCGGGCATTCGGTGATCTGACGGCAGGTTGGACAACTCAACGCTTCTCCACCCTGCTGTCGCAGCCAAGCTTCCAGACAGGATTTGCAGAAAGTGTGAAGACATTTCAGTATTTTCGGTTCGTTGCTTTCACTAAACTGCTCCTTGCACACTGAACATTCTAATTCCCTCTTAACTTCGTCGAAAAAGCTCCTACTTTGAGCCATCACGCGAAGACGCCAAAATCCCCGAGGTGTTACTGGTGAGCAGGTCTCACGCATGACGGAGAATTAATCGGAGTGGCCCTGGAGACCGGAAGCTAATCCGCGTGCTTCTTTGTAGCTTGTTATTCTTTCTTTTTGATCTGCTTTCCCCATGATTCTACAGGCCCCAACTTTTCAAAATATATCAACAGGTGAAAGCAAAGAGCTAAAAGTTTAATTGGCTAGAATGTGCGCGATTTAGTAACGATCTTTCATTTGAAATGCTTAAAATTATTTGCATTGCGGTTAATTCCTGGAAATCCAGTGACTTCCGGTTTCGTTTTCTCAGAATCGTGACCGAGAAAATGTCACAGCACAGTTGAACTCCCGGTATATAGTGAGTCTTTTCGTTCAGGTAGAAGAAAACAAATGTACGTCGGGTCAGGTTGGCATAAGTGTGAGTTTGGCATTTGATCAGGCGACAGCAAAACCGAGCAATCTACATCAGTGTTCATTTTAAACTGACTATGGAGATCTCAGGATCGTAGATGCTGTAGATAACACATTCGCCGATCCTGAATTTAAGAAATAACACAACTGAAAATGTTTGTTACCAGCTTGCTTCTTTTCGTGTAACACTGCATATGCTGCTTTTCACACTTTTCCGGTGGATAAACAGTCAAATCCCGATTACTTGAACCTTCAGGTTCTAACCGAGCCTGAAAACCCTGTTTCCGGTTAGCACTCGATAAATGGAAATAACACGATATAAATTTAAAAAGTATGTACCCGCAGTCTGCCTTTAACCCACGACCTGCAGTCTGCGTTTTACACTGACCGATTTGTCGGTGTTGTAAGTCGGCTAATGACTCGGCGTACAGGCTCAGGTACCTGAAATTCAATTGTCACATATGATGTGCTGGATGTCTCGGTTTAGTGCCACTGTGAGGTTGAAAATCGTCTGTTTTACCTAAATTTGTCAATTTCATTTATTAAGCAGACCCATTTTACCTACCCAAGCATTTCTTATCAACGGGATCAATCTATTCCCCACCCCCCCCCTACCCCCGTTCTCTTCGCATCGTCTGAGCAAATCTTCTTAGCCGTGGACCAGTTGGTAGGCCTTTCATCTTGTTTCAGCAATCTTTTCCTTAATTCAGCACAAAATTGTGTAAGAACTTTAGTTATTCCAGTGTCCGTTAGTTTTAGAGCGGATACTATTTTCCTACGCCATGCTGGGTCCAAGAGACCGTGATGGTGGGTAAAGATAGTTAATCTGCTAAATATTTTTATTATTTTTAGATTATTCCTGGTTTTGGAAATCTCAGGGAAGACTAGGGCCCCGTCCACAGGTATCCGGATATTTTTGAATCCATAACTTTTTCTTTCCGGATTCGGCTTCCGCCCACACGCACCCGGCGAATTCGGCAGCGAATCCGGATATTTTTTAATCCGCTCTCCAGAATGGAAAAAAAATGACGTAGCAAAATCGTGTCCAGTCTCTTGCCGAACAATAAACCAGTATGGCGGCACAACGTGTAGGCCTAGTTTCTCTAGAGTGAATCCGGATATCATCGGATGCGTGTGGACAGGCGAATTCGATTTGAATACGCTGCGTGTGGACGAGGAAATTTTGAATCCGGAAAGAAAAAGTTGCGGATTCAAATATTTCCGGATACGTGTGGAAGGGGCCCAGAAGGAGCTAAACTTATGACGCGGACTCTGGTCTCGTGGACAGCCCAAGTGGCTTCACACGCACTGGAGTTTCATCCTCCTCGAAAACATCCACACAACACGTGTGGTGCATTATTGGCAGCAGTACTGGGTGCCATATCTAAAAACAAATTGACAGGGACTGCTTTGAGAAGAAGGCCTACACCAGGAGATTAACTCTCGAACCCGTCTTCGTCTTGCTGTAGCCAAACGGCCTCAAAAGATCATGATGGGTGGAAAAGACTAATTTTGCATTGTTTGCGCTCTTCCATAAGAGGCCTTGCACATTGCTTTGGATTGTTGTCTTAATCATTTCAAACTGTAACAAAATGTCAAAATGTCAAATTATGATATTATTTTGATGTTACCCAAAATTTCTTATTTCATACCACCAAAATATAACAAATGGAAGAGAGTCAATACGGGACTATTATCTTTCAAAAGTGGCAAGAAGAGGTTGTAAATTGTAAACTTTAATGAGCTTAGTCATGACTAATCATATGACATAATGCTGGTGATCAACTGCGACACTGTAATTGGACATTTACTGACGATTTTGTTCTTTGTTCGCTTGGGAAGTTTGGTGACGACGCGAGATGCTTACTATATTTGAAATTATGCTAAAATGACTGAAACATGTATGCAAATGTCCGTTTTTAGGACCGTTTAGCTCCAGTTTTTGATCCACTAAGCACGCGTAGAAAATAGAGATTTCACATTTGATGAAGTTTCTTAAGTTGGTCATTCTGCATCGTGAATGATTACATTTATCAATTGCAAAAATGAGCGAAAGGAGACTAAGACGTTTCGAGGTCATCTTGACTGTATTATCAAGTAGAGAAAATACCGTTCAAGATGTTAATTTTATAGTATTGGAATGAATACATTTTTTTATTAACTATTTTTCGACTCGACCAAATTAATTACATAGGTGTGTGTAGCATTTTTAACTTGTCAAACACTTTTATTATTAGCCTCTGGCTCGGGGGACTAGGTAGCCACCCCTTCCCTGTGTATATAATAAATTCTCCTTCTTCTTATCCTTTTCTTTATAGTATGAAACGGGTGTAAGGATATGTTAATTAACATCCCGACTGTTATTTTCTCTACTTGATAATGGAGTCAAGATGACTTCTAAACCTTATATTCTCCGTTCGCTTAATTTTATAATTAATTGTCTTTTGTAAAGTTTCCTTATCAAAATCCTAAATGAATATAATAAAAAAAAAAAGCAATATATATGCATGGTCATATTACATCTCTGATGTGGAAGTCTCATATATATGGGACGAGAAAAAGGTTCATATGGTCTTTGTTTCTGTCAATTACCTCTATTTACTTCCATTGCAAGGACACCTCTATTCAGGGGATGGGAACCCTTTTTCTGGGTTCCGAAGCCCTGATTTACCTCCGTCAAGGGACACCGTAAGCACCTGGAATGTGACTAACTTCAAAGAGGGTTGATATGGACTAGCGTGCAGTAATCACAAGCGATGACAGCTTTCAAATCATGACCTTTTTAATACTGCACATCAATGAACGGTATAACCAAAATTACCACCAACGGGTGAAAAACTGTTCGAATTCTCCCTCCAGAGTCAAAGCGCCAAAGGCAGTGGTTCGAAGAACTACATAGTTTTTCAGGTTGTGACATTTTGGCTTCAATTGATTGGCCTGGTACAAACCCGTGCTTTAAACTTTTTATTTGAATCGTTTTACTGAAGTATCTCTGTCGCCGTTGAAAACATATCTACGTTGAATTTCCAACTCTTAACCAGCTGCTAAGGTGGTGTTCTACCCAAGAATGGTTGGTCTTTCTTTAATATATAAAAGCAATTTTGTGGGACATTTTTGGTATAACTTCTTAAAGTAATTCACTGTCTGGGTACAAAAAATGGTGGTTTTCGGGTCACCCCTTAAAGGGACGTTCATTACAAAAATAACAACATACTAATGAATAGTTGGAAAAGAATTCTGTTCCGTAGTAATGAGCTCTTGATATCACAAACCTTAAAAAATGACGGCACGAAACGAGCTGCGTAAGACTAGCCACGAACAAAGTTATCATTTAATACACTGAACACTGGATATGTTTTACCTTTAATATTTTTTCAGTAGGTATCAGTCCTAAAAGTATAAGACTATTTGGCTAACACCCAGAGGGGATATCATTTTTGAGATATTGGTGATCTGACTTTTTTCGCTATTCGATGGTTGACGGTTAACCCCATTGCCATTGAAACCCTCGGCCATGACTCATCTGAATATATTATATTCTTTCAGGTCAAACGGGATTTCCGTTTTCTTCGTTGTTGTATCTTGAAGGAAAGGGTAGTAGGGCTTCACTTCCAAGTTTTGTCCCTCAAGGGTATGGCGTTGCGTTTGACTCTTGGCCATGACATTTTGAACACCTGTGAAGAAAGACAAAAAACTAAAGACAAAAAGAAAACTGGAGAGCTCTCAGATTGGATGATGTTTTTTGAAAGNCATATTTGAACAAAGAGTTGGAATGTAAAGCCATCTAAATCATCAACCATGTGCTTGTTGCACCCCGCACGATGAAAAATTTAATCAAAGAAAAAAAGTAGAATTAAAAACAGATACCTGGCGATTCCGTATGTTTTGCTTTCTTTTCTCCTCTCAACTTTCTTTCTTTCACTTTCAAGTGGAAGGGACTTCCCTTGATCGCTTCGCCTGCCACTGTTATGACAACATTGAACTCTCCTGCAGCTTCAGGTCTGTATGATACTTTATAGCAGCCATCTTTTGAGTCTGTTATGGTGGCCTCCAAGGTTTTTCTCGTCTGGAGAGACTGGATGCAAACTTCAACCATGTCAATTTCACTGTAGGTTTTAATTCCCTGTGAATCCTTTGTAATCACTGTAAAAGTGCAATCTTCGCCTTGTACGGCACCCTCTGTCAGGGCCATGCTATCCACCATGGTTGACGAAGGTTCAGTGTTTGTCGTGAGTAACTTCCCCGGTGAATCTTTCAGGGACGACAAGTCATTTGAAACGTATTTGACGGCGGAATAATTTGCCTTCAAGTTAAATGCACAAGGCTCCATAAGTTCCTGAAACCTTTGTTCAAGCACTTCTTCCACGTTTAGAATCTCTGGTAAATTATTTCGTTGAAGTATTTCGTTGCCAAAGTCCAAGCTGCTCTCTATTTCAACCAGTTTTTCGTCCAGGCTGGTCATTGTGTTTGAAAATGCAGCATCGAAAGTTTCTTTCTGCTTCATTAGTCGATCGGTCATGCTTGCTTCATGCTGGCGAATCAATTCTATGTTCCTTTCCACCGTTCTGTGTATTTCTTGTGTCGCTTGTTCGACGCTTTTGTTCATTCTTATTCTTTGCTTTTCGAGGAATTCTTTTTCGCTCTTCAAACGAGGAACATTTGCCTGGACTTCTTGCATCTTATTCTCAATTTCTGATTTCTTCTTTTGTAATCCGTTGTCAAGCGAAACGATGTTGTGGTCTCGATGATCCAATATGGCGCAGTCACGGCAAATACATATCACGCATTGTTCACAATAAAATCGCACTTCATCGTTGTGTTTCTTGCAAACATTTGCTCTCCTGGCGTAATCTCGGGCATCGCTAGGCTTGAATTTCCCAATTTCTTTAACCTGATGACCACTAAGAGCTTTCATTTTTCTGTGAGCCCTAGCGCAGTCTTCACACAGGAAGTGATTGCAATCAGCACAATAGTACTTCAACGACTTTCTTACGTCGCAGTTTCCACAGTGTGGTGAATCTTCCTGGCCTAGTCCGCTGTAAGCCTTAACAATGTCCACCATCTGCTTGTAAAACAGGTTGGATGGAAGGCTGCTGATGTTGTTGCTCGGGCATTCGGTGATCTGACGGCAGGTTGGACAACTCAACGCTTCTCCACCCTGCTGTCGCAGCCAAGCTTCCAGACAGGATTTGCAGAAAGTGTGAAGACATTTCAGTATTTTCGGTTCGTTGCTTTCACTAAACTGCTCCTTGCACACTGAACATTCTAATTCCCTCTTAACTTCGTCGAAAAAGCTCCTACTTTGAGCCATCACGCGAAGACGCCAAAATCCCCGAGGTGTTACTGGTGAGCAGGTCTCACGCATGACGGAGAATTAATCGGAGTGGCCCTGGAGACCGGAAGCTAATCCGCGTGCTTCTTTGTAGCTTGTTATTCTTTCTTTTTGATCTGCTTTCCCCATGATTCTACAGGCCCCAACTTTTCAAAATATATCAACAGGTGAAAGCAAAGAGCTAAAAGTTTAATTGGCTAGAATGTGCGCGATTTAGTAACGATCTTTCATTTGAAATGCTTAAAATTATTTGCATTGCGGTTAATTCCTGGAAATCCAGTGACTTCCGGTTTCGTTTTCTCAGAATCGTGACCGAGAAAATGTCACAGCACAGTTGAACTCCCGGTATATAGTGAGTCTTTTCGTTCAGGTAGAAGAAAACAAATGTACGTCGGGTCAGGTTGGCATAAGTGTGAGTTTGGCATTTGATCAGGCGACAGCAAAACCGGGCAATCTACCTCAGTGTTCATTTTCAACTGACTATGGAGATCTCAGGATCGTAGATGCTGTAGCTAACACATTCGCCGATCCTGAATTTAAGAAATAACACAACTGAAAATGTTTGTTACCAGCTTGCTTCTTTTCGTGTAACACTGCATATGCTGCTTTTCACACTTTTCCGGTGGATAAACAGTCAAATCCCGATTACTTGAACCTTCAGGTTCTAACCGAGCCTGAAAACCCTGTTTCCGGTTAGCACTCGATAAATGGAAATAACACGATATAAATTTAAAAAGTATGTACCCGCAGTCTGCCTTTAACCCACGACCTGCAGTCTGCGTTTTACACTGACCGATTTGTCGGTGTTGTAAGTCGGCTAATGACTCGGCGTACAGGCTCAGGTACCTGAAATTCAATTGTCACATATGATGTGCTGGATGTCTCGGTTTAGTGCCACTGTGAGGTTGAAAATCGTCTGTTTTACCTAAATTTGTCAATTTCATTTATTAAGCAGACCCATTTTACCTACCCAAGCATTTCTTATCAACGGGATCAATCTATCCCCCCCCCCCCCCCCCTACCCCCGTTCTCTTCGCATCGTCTGAGCAAATCTTCTTAGCCGTGGACCAGTTGGTAGGCCTTTCATCTTGTTTCAGCAATCTTTTCCTTAATTCAGCACAAAATTGTGTAAGAACTTTAGTTATTCCAGTGTCCGTTAGTTTTAGAGCGGATACTATTTTCCTACGCCATGCTGGGTCCAAGAGACCGTGATGGTGGGTAAAGATAGTTAATCTGCTAAATATTTTTATTATTTTTAGATTATTCCTGGTTTTGGAAATCTCAGGGAAGACTAGGGCCCCGTCCACAGGTATCCGGATATTTTTGAATCCATAACTTTTTCTTTCCGGATTCGGCTTCCGCCCACACGCACCCGGCGAATTCGGCAGCGAATCCGGATATTTTTTAATCCGCTCTCCAGAATGGAAAAAAAATGACGTAGCAAAATCGTGTCCAGTCTCTTGCCGAACAATAAACCAGTATGGCGGCACAACGTGTAGGCCTAGTTTCTCTAGAGTGAATCCGGATATCATCGGATGCGTGTGGACAGGCGAATTCGATTTGAATACGCTGCGTGTGGACGAGGAAATTTTGAATCCGGAAAGAAAAAGTTGCGGATTCAAATATTTCCGGATACGTGTGGAAGGGGCCCAGAAGGAGCTAAACTTATGACGCGGACTCTGGTCTCGTGGACAGCCCAAGTGGCTTCACACGCACTGGAGTTTCATCCTCCTCGAAAACATCCACACAACACGTGTGGTGCATTATTGGCAGCAGTACTGGGTGCCATATCTAAAAACAAATTGACAGGGACTGCTTTGAGAAGAAGGCCTACACCAGGAGATTAACTCTCGAACCCGTCTTCGTCTTGCTGTAGCCAAACGGCCTCAAAAGATCATGATGGGTGGAAAAGACTAATTTTGCATTGTTTGCGCTCTTCCATAAGAGGCCTTGCACATTGCTTTGGATTGTTGTCTTAATCATTTCAAACTGTAACAAAATGTCAAAATGTCAAATTATGATATTATTTTGATGTTACCCAAAATTTCTTATTTCATACCACCAAAATATAACAAATGGAAGAGAGTCAATACGGGACTATTATCTTTCAAAAGTGGCAAGAAGAGGTTGTAAATTGTAAACTTTAATGAGCTTAGTCATGACTAATCATATGACATAATGCTGGTGATCAACTGCGACACTGTAATTGGACATTTACTGACGATTTTGTTCTTTGTTCGCTTGGGAAGTTTGGTGACGACGCGAGATGCTTACTATATTTGAAATTATGCTAAAATGACTGAAACATGTATGCAAATGTCCGTTTTTAGGACCGTTTAGCTCCAGTTTTTGATCCACTAAGCACGCGTAGAAAATAGAGATTTCACATTTGATGAAGTTTCTTAAGTTGGTCATTCTGCATCGTGAATGATTACATTTATCAATTGCAAAAATGAGCGAAAGGAGACTAAGACGTTTCGAGGTCATCTTGACTGTATTATCAAGTAGAGAAAATACCGTTCAAGATGTTAATTTTATAGTATTGGAATGAATACATTTTTTTATTAACTATTTTTCGACTCGACCAAATTAATTACATAGGTGTGTATAGCATTTTTAACTTGTCAAACACTTTTATTATTAGCCTCTGGCTCGGGGGACTAGGTAACCACCCCCTTCCCTGTGTATATAATAAATTCTCCTTCTTCTTATCCTTTTCTTTATAGTATGAAACGGGTGTAAGGATATGTTTATTAACATCCCGACTGTTATTTTCTCTACTTGATAATGGAGTCAAGATGACTTCTAAACCTTATATTCTCCGTTCGCTTAATTTTATTATTAATTGTCTTTTGTAAAGTTTCCCTATCAAAATCCTAAATGAATATAATAAAAAAAAAAAGCAATATATATGCATGGTCATATTACATCTCTGATGCGGAAGTCTCATATATATGGGACGAAAAAAAGGTTCATATGGTCTTTGTTTCTGTCAATTACCTCTATTTACTTCCATTGCAAGGACACCTCTATTCAGGGGATGGGAACACTTTTTCTGGGTTCCGAAGCCCTGATTTACCTCCGTCAAGGGACACCGTAAGCACCTGGAATGTGACTAACTTCAAAGAGGGTTGATATGGACTAGCGTGCAGTAATCACAAGCGATGACAGCTTTCAAATCATGACCTTTTTAATACTGCACATCAATGAACGGTATAACCAAAATTACCACCAACGGGTGAAAAACTGTTCGAATTCTCCCTCCAGAGTCAAAGCGCCAAAGGCAGTGGTTCGAAGAACTACATAGTTTTTCAGGTTGTGACATTTTGGCTTCAATTGATTGGCCTGGTACAAACCCGTGCTTTAAACTTTTTATTTGAATCGTTTTACTGAAGTATCTCTGTCGCCGTTGAAAACATATCTACGTTGAATTTCCAACTCTTAACCAGCTGCTAAGGTGGTGTTCTACCCAAGAATGGTTGGTCTTTCTTTAATATATAAAAGCAATTTTGTGGGACATTTTTGGTATAACTTCTTAAAGTAATTCACTGTCTGGGTACAAAAAATGGTGGTTTTCGGGTCACCCCTTAAAGGGACGTTCATTACAAAAATAACAACATACTAATGAATAGTTGGAAAAGAATTCTGTTCCGTAGTAATGAGCTCTTGATATCACAAACCTTAAAAAATGACGGCACGAAACGAGCTGCGTAAGACTAGCCACGAACAAAGTTATCATTTAATACACTGAACACTGGATATGTTTTACCTTTAATANACTTCTAAACCTTATATTCTCCGTTCGCTTAATTTTATAATTAATTGTCTTTTGTAAAGTTTCCTTATCAGAATCCTAAATGAATATAATAAAAAAAAAAGCAATATATATGCATGGTCATATAACATCTCTAATGCGGAAGAGACTAGGTCTCATATATATGGGACGAGAAAAAGGTTCATATGGTCTTTGTTTCTGTCAATTACCTCTATTTACTTCCATTGCAAGGAGACCTCTATTCAGGGGATGGGAACCCTTTTTCTGGGTTCCGAAGCCCTGACTTACCTCCGTCAAAGGACACCGTAAGCACCTAGAGTGAGACTAACTTCAAAGAGGGTTGATACGGACTAGTGTGCAGTAATCACAAGCGATGACAGCTTTCAAATCATGACCTTTTTAATACTGCACATCAATGAACGATATAACCTTAATTGCCACCAACGGGTGAAAAATTGTTCGATTTCACCCTCCGGAGTCAAAGCGCCAAAGGCGGTTTGAGTTAGCGAGTGCCGAAGGCGTACGTTGGCAGTGGTTCGAAGAAATAGAGTCCTTCAGGCTGTGACATTTTGGCTTCGATTGATTGACCTGGTACAAACCCGTGCTTTAAACCTTTTATTTAAATCGTTTTACTGAAGAATCTCTGTCGCCGTTGAAAACATACCTACGTTGAATTTCCAACTCTTAACCAGCTGGTAAGGTGGTGTTCTACCCAAGAATTGTTGGTCTTTCTTTAACATATAAAAACAATTTTGTGGGACAATTTTGGTATAACTTCTTAAAGTAATTTACTGTGTGCATGGGTACAAAAAATGGTGGTTTTCGGGTCACCCCTTAAAGGGACGTTCATTACAAAAATAACAACTTACTAATGAATAGTTGGAAAAGAATTCTGTTCCGTAGTAATGAGCTCTTGATATCACAAACCTTAAGAAAAACTCACCCTTTTGGCTGGCGTTTCCTTTTTAAAAATGACGGCACGAAACGAGCTGCGTAAGACTAGCCACGAACAAAGTTATCATTTAATACACTGAACACTGGATATGTTTTACCTTTAATATTTTTTCAGTAGGTATCAGTCCTAAAAGTATAAGACTATTTGGCTAACACCCAGAGGGGATATCATTTTTGAGATATTGGTGATCTGACTTTTTTCGCTATTCGATGGTTGACGGTTAACCCCATTGCCATTGAAACCCTCGGCCATGACTCATCTGAATATATTATATTCTTTCAGGTCAAACGGGATTTCCGTTTTCTTCGTTGTTGTATCTTGAAGGAAAGGGTAGTAGGGCTTCACTTCCAAGTTTTGTCCCTCAAGGGTATGGCGTTGCGTTTGACTCTTGGCCATGACATTTTGAACACCTGTGAAGAAAGACAAAAAACTAAAGACAAAAAGAAAACTGGAGAGCTCTCAGATTGGATGATGCTTTTTGAAAGATTCAGTTATTTCAATTACTCCTCTGTGAAAATTAATTTGGCCCCTAATTTCGAGCTCAAGAGTTTAGTTAGTTCTCATTTTTAATGTAAAGTACAAACTACAGTCACAACAACTGAAATCTGGAATTATTATTAGCTCGTTTGTAACTCTGGTAATTTGCCTTTAGCTGTAATGTTAGGAAATCATCGCTTTTGAATTTGACAAAGCCTCGCCATCATACTGAATACTTTACGGGGTTTACCATGGTACCTTGATTGGCTCTTTGGTCATTTTTCAAGCAGGAACTACGGCGCTAAGTTTAAAAAATGTGGCTTTTTAATATGACTAATCGTCGTTAATTATTCTTAATCAGCTCTTGGCTTCAATAATAAATATATCTTACTTGAAAGATCCTCGAAATAAACCAAGGCTTGGTCTTTTCCTTTCCTTTCCACTTGGCTCACTTTTTTCCCTCCGCTCCTTCTTGTATTTTCGAAGTAAAGTTTTATCGTGTCATTGGTTATTTCTTTATTCAGTCCTGTCACCAGAATACATGAGCAGATAGGCACACGCTTCAAGTGAGGTTTCTTTCCTTCAAGACCTTTCGTATCTTTGTTTACTTTGTGGAATAGCGATTCAAAGTCTGGAAAAATAAAGAAAACAGCTTTCAAATTGATCAATTGCCACTTTAAAATTAATCTAAATCAAGAAAGAATGCAGGGTAAGAGGGTTAATACCCAATTCCTAAGAGAGTGCCGCTTCTTAATTTTACACATGGTAATTAGTTTGTCCGCCGAAAGTGTTGCCAGGCGCGTTGGTTGCCTGACTTCACTCAATTGGTTATTTCAAGACCCTCCAAGGATTTCCGAAACCACAGAGATCGAAAAATAGACTGTAAAATAAAAATAAACTGTACTAGGCACGACGCTTTAAATTCTGTCGTTTTGTCATGGAAAAAAGAAAACACTATTTAAAACAAATCACAATTCGTTCTCCCTAGATTACATTCCCCTTAATATCTTCATCTTGGCATTCCATAGGGTCCTTTTATAATTGAAGGATGCCTAGATGAAAGATCGCAGACTTCATATTCCTGCCCTTTATTGAAGAAAATTATATATAAGCAATAGACCTTACTTGAGGCGACAATGCGCTCGGATATTTGTCCGCGGATATTATCTGTTTCAAGAAGTAGAACAGTTTTACAAGAGCGAAGCCAGAGGAAAACTGTGAGCTTCGGGGAACAGACCTTGCATATTTTTGAAGTCAAACGGGGGCTATTGTGTTTATTATCTGTCAGATATTTTCGCGCGAGGAATCGTTTGAAAATTGGGAAATATGACTTGGACATACCCCAGTTTCAGCTGGGACTCATTCAGTCAGCTGACGCGTTTAGACCAATGGAGTACGAGCAAAAAGATTTGATGTATTTTACGAACGAATACTGAGATGTTCTTTGAACCTGTATTTCGTGCGCCACCACGTGCAGTGAAGGAGAGCTTAATGTAAATAAGAATATTACGAGCATTTATAAAGGTAGAGATAATTATAAAACACAGGGTGTTTTCATAGGGTAACTTTTCAATGAAACATAGCGTAATAGAGTTAATCCTCCATATAGCCCTAAGGTTATAATTGTTCTATTTTCGTGAACGAATTGGCGGCAATCGTAAATCTTTCGCCCTTTTTATCCTTCCATAGACGATTAATCAACAGAAGTTTATTTCTATTCACCTTTAAATGGCAAGGAAAGTCACTGTAAGTAAATTCAATTGAGTTTTTTGAAGTTGTGAGAGTTTGTTTGGCTGTTTGTGGCTCGGCGCCGTAACGGCGCGTAATCCTGTTTGTCTCTCTTTGTATAATTTTAAGTAAAAAATGAGTCAATTTCAGTCGAGTTTACCTCTCTGATGGCTGCTGTATTTGAGAGGATTTTTGTGGAATGCACATTACACGAATTTCTTCGCTATCTGCTACTCAATTTACGGTAGAAAAGTCTGATTTCGAGTGATTCGCAACGACTGACGGAAATTGTTTTTGTAGAACAACTTCAAATTTTGCACGAAATTTCAAGCTGGAAAAACACTTTTGGAGAACTTAACTATAGTGAACTAAATGCAACTAACATAAAGAAGTTCGAAATAAATCTGTTATTTAATACATCTTTCTTTGTCTAGTATCTGAGTTACTCGCTTGTTAGATTTTTTACGAATGGTTTGAAGACGGCGCGTAAGGCAATTCAATGACAAAGTTGCGTAAACAAACCCACACTTGTAAGCCAATTTACCGCAAGAAAAAAAAAAAAGATAAACATGTTATTGTCCTGCTTAGGGTCGGTCCGTATAGTGAAAAACTGTGACCTCGGGCAGCATTTTCGAGACATCAGTCACAGTTTTTCACTATACGGACCTCCCAGCCGGCCAATAACATATATATATGTATTTAAGTTTCCAACAATGACATATTACTTTTAGGTTTTGACTTTTCGAAGTCATGCTCATACATGATAGAGTCAAAATTGTCAATGGAGAGTTCAATTGAGAGAACGGGATGACCTGCTACATTTATCTGAATTGACATTGCCTTGTATTACGTCATTTGTGGTTATACCCTCATCAATCATAGTTCTCAACCAATGAGCGGGCGAGAATCCTCTCGGTTATCCTAAGAATGAATATAGCTCAGTGATTTAAAATTACCTGGTTCAGATTCAAAAGTTGCAAGGGCGTCATTGTTGCAACCAAGATACACTTCCACGACTTCAACGTCACTGAACTTCTCCAAGTAAAAACGTAATAGGTCTTCAGTGGTCGTTTCGCTGATTCCTTGTACGTGAACTTTAACTGGGTCAAGTGGTAATTTCTTCTTGGGAAGCTGGCGCACAACTGTTATAGCTTTTCCGTCAATTGCATGTGGCTTCTTAAGCAGTCGTTCTAAATCTGTTTAGGCAAACCAGGATTATAATAATTAAAACAAATAAAAACAGCTTCAGGCTTATAAATCCAGTTGCTCGCCTGCTCACTATTTTCGGATGTTTGCCAACATTTAATTTGGCCTTTTTTTTCTTTGGCCAACGCGCGCTGACAAGGAGAATTCTGATTAGCGGTTAGCGGTCTGATTAGCCCTTAGCCGTCCGATTTTTGCAATACAGGCCATTAACATGGTCTGCTCACGAATTAATTTCATCAAATTGCGCTTACAATTTAATTTCATTGCACGATATCAACAGTTTTTTGTTAAGCAGGAATATTTTTACCTTCATGTTTGGAAGACAATTTCAGTTAAATCTTCACAAAGGCTAGTTAAATAACATACACAGTCGAACCTCCCGTGAGCGACCACCCAAAACGTCAAGCCTAGGTGGTCGCTTACAGGAGGTGGTCGCTTACGAGAGCTTAGACCATGTTAGGTTAAAATTTGGCCTCAATAGAATATGGTAACTGCAGAGACTTGCTCCATGCGCCAACGCCAATGCAATGTTTTACTCATGTGAAAAGTCAATTTCGAGAAAAGAATCAGCTTCTTCCCATTGAGAAATTTCCATCTCTTGTATTACCCAGGAATGCGATAATATTATATTACAACTCCTTATTATCCAATTTCGTCTCTATTATCCGTCAAGTGGTCGCTTTCGAGAGGTTAAAAACCAAGAAAATATAAAACTTTTAGCTCTAAAAGTGGTCGCGGTCGCTTACGAGAGGTGGCCGCTTACAACAGGTTCTAAATATAGAGATTTGACTGGAAAACGTTTGGTATTTTAGAAAGCTGGTCGCTGGGGAGAGGTGGTCGCAACCGGAGGTTTGACTGCATACTGTAATCCATGCCAGTCCGTGAACTCTCCCCTCCCCGAACCCAACATAAAGGTTGAACCCAGGCAAGAGAAGAAAGAGACTCTCTCTTCTCGCGCTTGGTTTAACCCCTCTATGGCGCACGGGTAAGGGAGAATTCAGGGACTGGACTACTTATACTGATGACGAACGTATACATTGTACGTTTAACAAGGCGGCCAAGCGAGCGCCTTGCTAGCCTTTGCAAGGATAGGCGGCAAATTGCGATGATATGGTAAAATTCGTAATGGCTCTGAGGCTTGGGGGATTAATTCATGCTACATTTTGCGGTAGCTGGAAGCAAAATTTTCTAAAGAAATACATGAAGGAAAAAAAAAAATAAAACCTGATAGATAGAAAGTCTCGAGCATATAGAACAATGTAATATATGGTTTCTAGGACAATCACACAATTTTAAACGACAAATTTTCAAAACGTTCCTCGAGTGGTTTTTTTAATTTTTTAACTTAAAGTGTTACCTCAGTGTTGCATTGCGCATTCCTACTGCGCACGATTTTCGCGTCATTAGCGCACGCACATGAGCGCCTGCACGTCACACAACGTAAGAGTTTTCCCTCCAGCTATGCTCAATAGCGAAATACATGCTCGTTTTCTCTCAAACGAGAATGGTGACCCATATTTTTTATTACATCAATTTGGTGTAAAAATTACTCTCTTTTAGTTAATAAATTAAGGAAAAAATGTTCGGAAGGAAACAAAGATATAGCTAAAAGAGTGCACAAAACCGTCACTTAAGGATGCAAATTATGACCTCGAAAACAACAATTGGAGGAACGTTTTAAGTCAGTGTCATTTAGAATTGTCTGATTTTTCGATAAATTATACGTTAAATTATTCCAAATGCCCGAGAAATTCTGCCTATGAAGATTCTCTTCAAGTATTGCTTTAATAACCATTGCTTCCAGCTACCGCAAAATTTGACGTGAACTGATGAAATAACGCGGTAAGATTGGCCAATCGTATCTCTTTAAAGAGCATGGTGACCTATCCTTTTTATTGTATTTTTCGAAACAGCGCTTGGAAGGGAACATTCAAGGAAAGTTGAAAAAAACTTGTTAGGCAACTTTTATTTCTGAGAAATCACCTTAAAGAGGATGATTTGTACACCAAACTTGTGTACTAAAACTATACGTCTCCATGCTCGTTTAAGTAAAAACAAGCATTTATTTCGCTGTCGAGCTTAGTTTGATGGAAATCTCTTGATGTTGTGTATGTGCACGCGCTCGTTAGCGCGCGCTAATGACGCGAAAATCGTGCGCAGTAGGGATGCTCAATGCAATTCTGAGGAATCACCTCAAGGTTTAGGTGAAAATGATCAATTTCTTTTGTTTTATCCCCCATAAGCCTCGGAGCTTAGTTAGAGTTTTAATATATCGGCATTGGCTCATCATTCGCAAATGCAACTGATCAGATGTTTAACAAATAAAGAAGCCTCGACTGTGCTCTGTTCTGTTGTAAAGCACGCAGGAAGCGGTAGAGCATGAAAGAAGAGTAGGGGAAAACACGAGACGTAGTCAATCGATCAACCCATATAGTCCATCAGCTGAGGGGGTTGTATGGCTCACTTAATGGGAACAAACGAAACTTGTATATTCTTAATCTTTGACTATTGAGCATCATGAAAATGTGTGTTTACAAAGATAGAACGGTAGCTTTCACTTTGTAAATCAAATTTTAAATTTCCCCCAACACCCTCTCTTTGGTCTCCATCTTGGAATTTTAAAAAAAAAACATTAACAATGTTATTTTCTTTTGTTTCTCTTCTTAGAGGCACACACTATTTTGCCTGGATGTATATTTGGAATAATTAGTATGTTAGATTTATTTCAGTATTGTCTGTGGTTGTTCAAGCTATGATGACGTCATAAATTACATTACAATGGCCGCCATTTTGTTTTCAACCATATGAAATAACTAAATTACCATTAAGGTGCTCCACATCACAATACTAGAAAACACCTTTTTCTACGTTTAGTTAAGCACACTACGCCATGAATCATACCATAACTCAGCGTAGATACATGTAACTATGTCCACACTTCAGTCTAGAGCTCGTTTGAGTACAGAAACGTCAGGATCGTATAACATCCTTTTCACCGCTGTCACTTGTATTTGGGAGCTACAACTTCTCAAACTCATGAACAATCCACTAAGTTTAAACATGGTAAATCATGACCGTGACGGCGTTTGGATATCTGATTTTTGTAGGCAAATAATTCTACGATTTTATTTTTCTGTTTCTCCTCAGTTTTAGTTCCGATCAAGAAAATATATCAAATACTCAAGACTCTGTTTGAGGACCTTCCTAAACACCTCAAAAATTGTCAAAAATACTCCCCTTCTAGTGTCGTATTTCAACTGTCTTCTCTGCAGTCTTGTAATGCGACGTCATAGAGATGACTCGCATGGCCGAAAAGCCTCTGGCTGGACTTCCCCACCTCTGGAGCAATGGACCTTATGGCGCAGCGCATCCATACTCTGGCACTCCTTCCCGTACAAATATCGCACGAGTGCCTCCTCTAGTATCTCTTTAGATACTGTTCACTCCTTCCCAATTCTCGCCATAGCTCAGACTTACCTTTCACTGTATTGGAGAATTAGAAGCTGAACTGAGTATCGCAGCCTGTGATCGTGTGTACGCCAATTAGGATTTCACGAGACAGTGCTTGTCTCTAGTATTGATCTTCGGTTTTCACGTACATAATCCGGTCACTGAGCCTGCCTCTGAATGCTTCTTTCTTCCACTGTGACACTAGGGAATTGGCACTGTGAGGCCTGTTTGCGGTGACACTGAAACGCTTGTTCCCTGACTTCGCAGTATAGGCAGGAAGTATGTTCTTGTATTGTTCACCGTCAGAGGTAGACACTCTTCAGTTAAAATCTTTCGACATTCTTGATTAATACCTCGCGATACATGTCGAACACTACGTCCACGTGCCTGTTGCCGGCACTCATTAACAACTCAAACACTCTCTTAGCGACCACATGAGACATACCTCCAGAGGCTGGGATATTCAACTTCTGCAAGACCACCATTCCAGGTATACTGAAAATACTAGTTGTGTTCTCTTGGCATTTCTCGGTGACTGTGATGCGTCACTATAGCTGCTGGGAGAGTTTGGCTTTACGTAGTTGTTTTTCGCGGGAGTCCATAAGGATCGGCAAGAGACCAAGGAAGTGAACGAAGAGGATAGGCGATAACTTTTCTGTCAATCTGACGACAAGTGCCATCCGAGCAAATACATCACGATTCATACGAGGAGGAAGTACTCTGACATCCTTCTATTTACGGACTTTACGCTCAGCCTACAGATCCTTAAAAGACTTAAGCTTGGCTTTCTTCAATGGATCTAAGTAATCTGAAGTGGGATTAGATGAGCAATGGTCATTACAAAGTAATTCACTCCCTTTTTTACCTTGCTCTTGGCCTGCAGTAAGTCATCACTTGCTTCCCCCAGGCTGTTATCGCTTTGATATCCGTGGATGCGTGCTGGAGCCAACTCCTTATGAATATAGGTCTTTGATGAAGTAATAGCCAAATGCTCGTGAAGAAGCTTTCTGTGCAAACCATGCCTTGTGCCATTGCGCAGCCATCTCTGGGTAGCAGCAAAATAGAGGTAAACTTTCGTCCTTCTGTCTTGCAGTCACTGCCAATGGTATACTCAATGGTCTTGTCAGCTTGTCTCGTCCAAAAGGATTAAAGAAATATCTATGAAATATCTATGAAGCAATATCTCTACACTAGACTAATTTAGAACCCGAACAACGACATACAATGCATTTGTCAACCCTTGATGATCATGGTGCAGAGGAAACCCTTTCGTACTTTCGTTTGTGAGACCACATGGTTTGGAACTGGGGCTGGATGTAGGAAACAGGCAAATGTTTTTGAGGGTTTTGTCTCAACAAACTTGCAATTTATACATATATTTTATCTACTTGCCCTCTCTTTCTGAAATAATTTTGAGAACGGTACCCCCCACAATGTTTTGCAATGATCATAACGCGAAATGATCATATCGTGACCAATAATCAAGTGTTGTGACGTAACTTATGACGTCATGCACTTATAATTCAAGCACTAGAGCAAATGGGCATTATTTTTCTAGTTCCCATACGTTTAAAATTTGCATTTGAAACGCGATTCGTTCACATTAAAGGAATACAAACCGCTTTGGAGCCTTCCCCAAAAATCCAAGATGGCGGCAAGAGAAGGGTATGTAGGGCAAAATTGAAAATTCTATTTACAAAGTGAAAGCTACCGTTCTATCCTTGCTATCATACATTTTTATGATGCTTAATAGTCAAAGATTAAGATAAGACATGTTTTGGCTATTCCTCTCAAGTGAGCCATAAACCCAAATTTTCGGCTCTCAGCTGATGGACTAATAGCCCTTATCGTGGTTTTGGAAGCCATCTTGATGGGAAGGCAACACGCGTCAGAAATTACGGTCTTTATATGAGAATCCAACAATCATGGCAAATAAATTTCTTCAGAGTCGAGTTCGGAACAATTTATGAATGGCAAAGTTAAGATACCAGACAGAGGATTGCATTGACCAAATTTCAGGGATGTACCTGAGCTAGAAAGCGTCCACCGCGGAGTCACCTTCACAGTTACAGTACATTCCCCAAATTTGCAACCCTTTAGGGATCGCCAAAATTTTCGCCGTGAATGTGAAGCCGCTTCGCTTCCTGGACATGAAATATACCGCTGTTTGATTGACGAAAGTCTATTGCAAAGAGTGTTTTGATTTCGAAAGTCGCTTAGCGGTGAAACATAACATACACTTCGTACGTACACGGAAAGCCAAAAAGCGCTAACACACATACCTACCACCGCAAGAAAAGTTATTTTGACTTCTCCGTCGCCAACGTAATGGACGTTGGAAACTTTACCTCCACCAGATCTCCTTGAATTCTCAAAGTAGTTTTCTACGGCGTACTCGCTAGTAGACGGTAAGATGCCGCTGACAATTATGGTGATATCATTTTCATCAGTACAGCCTTCTTCCCCTACTGTGTTTACGTCAAAGCCATCAGAATTTTCATCTTTGAATTTTTCAAACAGCGATGCTCGCGGACTTGCACCACTGAAAGCGTAAGGGGACTGTTCCATCATTCTTATGGCGACTGAAATAATCAAAATCAAATCGGCCATGACACAATGAAACCTCTTAATCGTCCTAAGTATAAGTTATACGCGGCTATCCTAGCAACATATATTAACTTGCCCAGACTACGACTGAGAACTTTATATTGGGTGATGGGAGCAAATAGTAGGAGCACTCTTTGAAATAGGTGGAGGGGGNGGGGGGGAATTGGAATAGGGAAATCTTATCACGGAAGAACCCCCAAAACAAGATATCATGGTTAGAAATTTCTCTAAATCGATGAGAATAAACAAGACATGTTTTTTGAAGTGTATAGGAGGTTCTGTCCCAAGCAGACAAAAGCAGTTCTGTGTTTTCACCGTCAGTTGACTGCAAGCTTTTCGCGTGTACGTCTTACTGTTTATTATCATAAGTGTCTTCAGGTTGTTACTTTATTGAACCACTCCACTGGGGCTTATCAGGGTCAATAAAATTGAACTTATAATAATATGAAGAATTTGTTTATGCTTACAACAAGAACAATATATTATTTGTACCTCATTAAAAAAAGTATTTACACATAAAAAGCGTGCGTATATCGAGTTTTATAATATAGATCGGACCCTGCGTGCGCTCTGATTGGTTAAAAACCTATGTTTTATCAGAGTATAAAACATAGAAAAAGCGTGTTTTACTGTTTTTCGCCACATTACCTCTGTATCATAAAGCAAATGAAGAAGCCTAAGCTGTGTCGAGAAATGTAGAAAACACGAGCCGCAGGCTCGTGTTTTCTACATATTTCCCTGTGTTCTCAAATGCCCGTCGTGTTTTATCACAGTGTAATACGCGGCTTAGGCTCCTTTATTTGTTAATGATATAATAACCCAATTTATTCTCGCATTTTGATTGATTCACGCCTATGATTTATTAGAGGACAGACGCTTGATTGGCGTCATCATTTTAGAGCTTTTCCCTCTGTGTTAACTTTATAATGACGGAATTTAGATACTATTAAACGTGACTGGAGAAAGATAAGGTACAAAATTAAAAAGTCTTGTCGAGGCATTGAACAGGTACGAGAGTCTGGAAGAAGAAAGAAAAGCCGTTTCTTTGCTAGAAAATGACTCAGAAAAAATACTCGAGTAGTCTCAGTCGGCAGTCGAGCGAGACTAAACCAAACACAAAATTGGTCTCGAAATTACTTTAAGGCAAGAAACCATTGCTTTGTCTCGAATTAACAAAACCAATAAGCGAAATGTTTATGTCATTAATTTACTTAAAAAATTAAACTTTCCTCAGTCTCAAAATGATTGTTGACACAGTTTGATTCCAGGAATTAAACATCAAAACATCATCAGTTTAAATGAAAACATAAGCTTAAGTTTATCCTTGTTTTCCGACGCGAATGCTCCAGTCCGTTTCAGGGCACAGTAGCGAGAAAAGTAGAGCTCACCACAGCTCACGGCCAACTGTATCCCAGCTGTAAGGTGTCTCCGACACTATATCGAACTGATTTGAGAATCACCAACCACTGAGGACACAAATTTCCACCGTCACCAACCGTTTCATCCAAAACTGGAATCGAATCGCAACCGCAAGTTTTCCGAGCGTATTTTACAACTCCTGCAATATTCAAGACAACATCCAAGCTTTTCTACTCAAAGGGTTACTCTGATGACAAAAACTGACTTGCCTTTTCAGCATTTTCTTTAAGATTTGTAGATTTCACAGTTCAATTCTGCTTTCGCTGTAAGTCTTCAATCCAGGTGATCCAGGAGAAGCGATTTTCTACTCAAGTTTGACAGTGACGGGATTTTCCTGGACCAATCACAATTCTTTGCTGCGCATAGCAACCAATGAGATTGCTTTATTTTGGATAGACAATAGATTACGTCAAATGGCTTTTTTTCGTGTTCGCCAAAGTGACAAAGGCCGGCTTTAGAGTTATGTTGAAAGATTTAAAAAAAAGCTTTTTCGGCATGTTGTTTCTTTATTATACAAAACTAATAGATTCCATGTTGCCGTGCGTCTGTTCAGTAATAGATCACAGAAGACGTCAAAATGTGGTAAGAACATCAGTGACACACTCGGCTATCGCCTCGTGTGCCACTTATTTGTTCTTACCACATTTTGACGTCATCTGTGATCTATTTAACAATTAGATTATGAGCTTGAGATTTCTATGAGGTGATAGTTGATGAGGCCGTAGGCCTCATCAACTATCGCCTCATAGAAATCGAGAGCGAATAATCTAATTGTTTTGGTAGAATTCTAACTTAAATTATCGCAACTGATGTTTTCCAAATATTTTTCGACGTACTATTGAACTTTACGCTTTAACAAAATCGCACGTATTGAATCGTCCTTGGTAAGTTTGCAGTTGCTTACGCGCGCGCACCGATTTTTCAATAATTTCAAGTTTTTAAAGTCAAGAATCCGTTTATTTCCTTCGTTTAATCTTCTCAGGAATTTAATTATCCATTTACATCTAAACTTTCTTCCAGAACTTCGGAAAAACGATAAAAACGTCGCATTTCGTGGACGACTGATAGCTACTGCATTCTAATACCTGATAGTATACGAGTAGCTCAGCCAATCAGATTGCAGCATTTGCATTAGTATACTTGTAGAATTCTGCTAATAAAAAATTAGATTATAAGCTCGAGATTTCTATCGCGTGATAGTTGACGAGGGCGTAGCCAGGGTCAACTATCATGCATAGAAAATCGAGAGCGAACGATCTAATTGTTTTAGTATAAATCCACTAGTCGTTCAAAACTTTATCTGAATCCTCTTCACAGAAACTTCGAAAACGCCAACAAGCGGCTGTCATTTTGTTACATACATAGCAAGGGCACACTGCCACGCTACACACTATCTATCACAGAATAGAAAGTGAGTAGCGTAGCCAATCAGGGAACGGCATTCGTGATAGAACGCTAGTAGATTTATACTAATACTGAACAGAAGCACGGCAACATGGAATCTATTTGTTAAATGGATGAACGCGGGTGGGTTGGAGAACACGAGAGAAGCGTAAGAGTTGCTCGAGGCGCACTCTAGCTTCTTGAATGCTCTCCAAACTTCCCGAGTGCATCCATAACTCGATATACCGTATGAACAGCTTAAAGCATGAACCAGTGAAACTTGAAGCTGCACACGAGTTTTATTTGCGCGCGGCCGTGCGTATATAGAGAATTTTTAGAATGATGGCTCAATAGCCGAATTAGGTAGGACCAGCGCGCGCGCTAGGTTATTATAAATCAAAAAAATAATAATAAAAAGAAAAACCGACACGCTCAAGTTTAGATGATTCCGCTATCTTTTGTGCGAATTTGTGCAGTACATAGGGAGAGGGCATCACACAATTTAAGCGACTTGAGAGCTCAACAGTATGTCGCTATGTGTACTTCCATAACAATTTTGCCATTATTGATCAGGCCTTCTCGCGGTTTGCTTTCAAGATCAAAGAAGCGCTTCACATACTTTAGAAAAATCCTTAACAGGTTATACACGTTAATTTAAAACTTTCTGTTGAATTTTTGTATTATCACTGCAATTGTCTTAATTACTGCCATTGTTATTGAAATTTTATCACTTTTTACTTTCTACCGCACACTATGTTCAATCCCTGCAACCTTTGAAACGGTTTGGGTAATCTTCGGTTGGAGGTATTCAAAAGTTGTGTTCTCCAAGAGAACATAATTTAACCAGTTATAACCGAAAATTTTATAAGAAAGCAGTTTATTTTCTCATCTAAAATTGTTAAAGAAAGTTTATAATTGCAACCTTGAACGTCTTAGGGAGAAAGTTAAAAGACAACTTCAGTGCCCAGCCAATCCCAAGGGCTCCAATGATCATGATTTAACCAAACCCTCCGAGCAATAATTTAGCTTGAAATCACGGTAAACAATATTTGCTTTTCACCTTCGAGTTTGCCAATCAGAATCAGCCCAGAAAGCACTATTCACTTGTGTGGTATATACTAAGTTTATCATCAACTTCAAATTCTATGATAACTGAACCTAGTGCTGGAGCAGTGCAAGACATCCGAATCTTCTACCGCTTGTGTGTTTTTTGCAGCCTGCAAGAAGAAAAATGTAACCAAAATAGGAAACAATGGTAAAAACAGATACCTGGCGCCCATCTTACTTTCTTTTTTCCTTTTCTTTCTTTCACTTTCAACTGGAAGGGGCTTCCCTTGATCGCTTCGCCCGCCACTGTTATGACAACTTTGAACTCTCCGTTAGCCTCAGGCTTGTACGAAACTTTATAGCAGCCATCTTGTGAGTCTGTTATGTTGACCTTCACGGTTTCTCTCGTCTGCGTTGATTGGATGTAAACCTCAACTCGATCAATTTCACTGTGGGTTTTATTTCCCTGTGAATCCTTTGTAATGACTGTAAAAGTGCAATTTTCACCTTGTTCACCCTCTGTCAGGCCCACGCCATCCACCATCGTTATTGAAGGTTCAGTGTTTGTCGTAAGTAACTTTCCCGGTGAATCGTTCAGGGTCGACAGGTCATTTGCTAAGTACTTGACGGCGGAATAATTTACCTTCAAGTTAAATGCGCAAGGCTCCATAAGTTCCTGAAACCTTTTTTCAAGCACTTCTTCCACGTTTAGAATCTCTGGTAAATTATTTCGTTGAAGTATTTCGTTGCCAAAGTCCAAGCTGCTCTCTATCTCAACCAGTTTTTCGTCGAGGCCGGTCACTGTGTTTGCTAATGCAGCGTCGAAAGCTTCTTTCTGCTTCATTAGTCGCTCGGCCATGCTTGCTTCATGTTGGCGAATTAATTCCATGTTCCGTTCCGCCGTTCTGTGTATTTCTTCTGTCGCTTGTTGGACGCTTTTGTTCATTCTTATTCTTTGCTTTTCAAGGAATTCTTTTTCGCTCTTCAAACGAAGAACATTTGCCTGCACTTCTTGCATCTTATTCTCAATTTCTGATTTCTTCTTTTGTAATCCGCTGTCAAGCGAAACGATGTTGTGGTCTCGATGATCCAATATGGCGCAGTCACGGCAAATACATATCACGCATTGTTCACAATAAAACCGCACTTCATCGTTGTGTTTCTTGCAAACATTTGCTCTCCTGGCGTAATCTCGGGCATCACTTGGCTTGAATTTTCCAATTTCTTCAACGTCATGGCTTTTAAGAACTTTCATTTTTTTATGAGCACTAGCGCATTCTTCACACAAGAAGTGATGGCAATCGGCACAATAGAACTTCAATGACTTTCTTTCGTCGCAGTTTCCGCAGTGTGGTGAATCTTCTTGTCCTTGTCCGCTGTAAGCCTTAACAATGTCCACCATCTGTCTGTAAAACAGGTTGGATGGAAGGCTGCTGATGTTGTTGCTCGAACATTCTGTGATTTGACGGCAAGTTGGACAACTCAACGCTCCTCCACCCTGCTGTCGCAGCCAAGCTTCCAGACAGGATTTGCAGAAAGTGTGAAGACATTTCAATATTTTCGGTTCGTTAGTTTCACTAAACTGTTCTTGACATACAGAACATTCTAATTCCCTCTTAACATCATCGAAAAAGCTCCTACTTTGAGCCATCACGCGAAGACGCCAACACACCAAAATCCCGGAAGTCGTACTCGTGACCAAGCCCCACGCACGAAGAAGAATCAGCTGGAGTGGCCCTGGACACCGGAAGCTGATTCGCCTGTTTCATTGTAGCTTGTTATTCTTTCTTTCTGATCTTCTTTCCCTATAATTCTAAAAGTCCCAACTTTTAACGTATATCATCAGGCGCAAGCAAAGAGCTGATTGTTTAAATGGCTAGAAATTGCGCGATTTAGTAACGATCTTTCATTTTGCTAGGAGATCGTTTCCATTTCTGACGATTCCTGGAAATCGAGTGACTTCCGGTTTCGTTTTCTCAGAAATATCGTGACTCCCGGTATATCTTGTTCAGGTCGAAGAAAACATATAAAACGGTTCAGATTGACATAAGTGTACATGTGAGTTTGGCATTTGTTCAAGCGACAGCAAAACCAGGAGATCTACCTCAGTGCTCATTCAAATGACTGCGGCGATCTCAGGATCGCAGATGCTGCAGCTAACACATTCGCCGATCCTGAAGGTAAAAATATAACAACTGAAAATGTTTGTTACGAGCTTACTTCTTGTCAGAATCAGAGTCTTGTTATACAGCATGTGCTACGTTTCACACTTTTCTGGTGGATAAATTGTCGATCGAGTCCTGATAACTTGAACCCTCGCTAACTCGAGCCTGCAAACCCATGTTGCCGGTTAGCACTCGATAATGGAAATACATGCAACACGATATACATTTAAAAAGTATGTGGTCCGTAGTCTTCATTTTGCCCCTGGTCTGCAGTCTGCATTTTACCCACAGTCTGTATTTAACTCTTAATCTGCATTTTATCCCCGGTCTGCAGTCTGCAGCCTGCAGTCCGCAGTCTGCGTTTTACACTGACCGATTTGTCGGTGCGATCAGTCGGCTAATCACTCTGCGTGCAGTGTAGCTGAACATCCATTGCCGCGTTTGATGTGGCGGTTGTCTTAGTTTAGTACCTATGCTTGAAAATCGGTTGTTTTACCTAGATTTGTCAATTTTATTTATTAAGTACGTTGTCCTGGGCGTCCCTAGTAGGCAGTTTAAGTAACCACTACGGCGTCCACAAGCCACAATCTCGTTACATTTATATTCTGATTCGCCCCGCTCAACCGAATATAAACATTTATCATGTATAAAACAACCACTTTTGGGGTGTGTCAACACAAGCCTTGTATGACCCTCCTTATTACGTCCTTTCAATCAAAATTACATAAGAACTAGTAGTAATCAGAGATTAGTGAAGTGCGTTCGATACCCGGGGGGAGGAAGGGGGTACTCTAGGAATTTGTCAATGGGGTGTGTTTCTACGAACATGGAATTTTTGTGTCATAGCAGAGAATATTCAGTTAGTATTTGGACATCTGATTGTTGGGTACCAGAAATACCTTCCCTATTAACATTCCATACTATATTTAGTAAAAAAAAATCAGAAGCTCTATTCTTTTTATATCAAGATCTCCGATTGTTTACCAAATCCTGATTTCTATACCCAAAGTAGACTGCTGGAAAGGCATACCCTTGACAGCAGCGCACACTTAAGCCCATTTATGTTATTTCCCTTCCAGGGTTTTCCAGGGTTTTGTGTATTTTGCGGGGTATTGTTTAACTTTTGTGCCCTTTATTGGCATTAAATGCCACATTACTTTAGCCAGCGCATCGTTTAGTAAGGTTAAGTACTGTATATAACTATGGAAAAGAATAAACTTTACTTCCAAATATGAACGTTTTTAACTTAAGTGTACATGCAAGCTTACATCAGTTAGGCATACCTGCGGTGAAATTCCTTGAGCGGTGTGCATTTCCATTTCCTTTTCGTCGTTTGTTGTGCTACGTTGGAATATTTGCAGTCTTTCCCAAGGTCAATGAAGTTGTGTTGATTTATTCGAGCTATAACGGTCGATCCTTGCAACTATGTTCTCACAGTGAAGTCGAATCGCCGAGAAAAGCAGTTGACTCCTAAGAGATGGCACAGATCACAAATCGATATGTTACCCACGCAGTTTCGGAGAAAATACAGCACTACACAGCTTTCTGGTGTTTAGATAAGTACCTTTAGCCAATTTAGCTGATAATAGTTTGAATAAATCAACACAGCTTCACTAACTTTGGCGAAAACTGCGAAGATTCCTTCGCAGAACAACGAAGGAAGAAAAGCACAGTGGTGTAAAACCTCACTATTATTCAAAGCGAGGCATCACATCAGACCAACCCTGAAATCATCTGGCGTAGCGAAAGATCGCGGGACATAAGCCCTCGAAAATGACGGGATAAGAATGCGTTCTCCTAACTGGAAATATATACTGAACAAAGTTTACAACAAATCAACCCGATACGTCAATACTCGACAATACTAGTCGGCCTTAGTTATTGAGTATTTAATTTAGAGAGCGGAAAAGCGGCCGTATGACTCAAATGAAGGCAACGTGATAAATATACCAACGCCCCACTAATGAAGAATTGTAACAACTGTCACAATGATTTAACACCCCAGGGACGAGGTTACACAACCATGATAAATACATTTATTCAAAATTTTAACATGCATGTGGCCGAGAACGGAATCGCGTTGTTCCCTCATTTAACGTAATTTTCGGAATTAGCAGCCATTGGTGCTCGCTACTTTCGGGGAGCAAAACGAGATATATAAGTTGATACGACTGCATTTGCTCCGTTTTGCGAAATAAAACTCGCTAGTTTCGGAAACTTATTAGGCAGTTCACATCCCTCTATTTTATCGCATTTTTATTCGATCAACACGCGGGATAGAATCGCCAGAGAGCTGAACACCATCATAAAACGGAAGGCTTCATTCGGTTTTGCGCGCTTGACTCGCCTCCCCGCGCCCACCCCATCTTGCTTCGCGTCCGCACTCGCTTCGCTCGTAGTTTCAGGCCTCATTTGAAGTTTTGTCCGTTTTTCTTACGGTTAGCATAAATTTTAGAAATTGTCAGAGTCAAAATTTAATTTTCTTTGTTAAAATAAGTCAAAAATCTAGTTTTATTACCGTGAAACAATTTTGCAAACTAAAACAACACATGCTAAAAACAAGTTTGAAAGTTCAGATGTAGGGAACTGATAACAATGATTAACAATTATTCACCGAAGTGGAGGTGAATGTCCCATACTTTCAGCAACACTTAGTGAATAATTGTTTTACTATATATCACATAAGCTGAATAACTAGTCGCGCAGAAAACCAACCAACAATACACCGACAAAAGGTAGAAAATTTCAAAATCTATGCTTGGAGGTGAATCACTACTTTACAAGAGACATCATTTCTTGTACTTTGCTATTCCTCCGAGTCGAACCAATCCGAACACGTGAAAAGCACTATTCACTTGTGTGGTATATACTTATTATTTATATCTTCTATATATTATTTAACAATTATTCCACGAGCGCGCGTTAGATATGAGATGATAGATGGCCACTAAAGGAGGCGGGTAGCGCCGAGTTGTCTATAATCATCTCATATCCAACAAGCGCGAGTGGAATAAGTGTTTTAATAAAAAACGCTCCCAAAACATAGCAAACTAAACTAAACTAAACTAAAAATAAAATGCCAAAAAAAATTACTCATGCGCTAACCATATTTGTATAGCATGGTATAATGGCTCATATACCATGATAACTAAGCCAATGAAAACTGTTGAATTGCATTATGCAATAATAGGATATTTTATATCATTTTAACTTAGGGGCAATTTTTGCACAAAAATCAGCTTAAGGACGTTTGCGCAAAAATTTTCCAACATTGATTTTTTCTCTGAGAACTTTACCACTGTAAGATGATGAGTTAGTTATGTCAGAAATGTAAAAAAGAAAAAAAATGGGGGGTCATCGACTTTGTTTTGGAGAGAACATGCCCGGAAGAACACCCTAAATCTGAAAAAAATCGGGGTTCTTTAGCGAACAAGGCCACAGTGTCTGTAAGCCCAAAAATATTGCAATTTGATCTTTGAAGTGAAATGTTCTCTACCAAATATTGTTTAAGTGGACCTATT